AAAACAGAAAACAGATCTATAATAAGAGTTTACTCCTATAAGTTTGACTTTGATAATCCTTTTTCTTGACAAAAAGTATTGGAAAAATCCATTTATAATAGTCATCTATTTATTAACTATAAAGATCCTAAATTAATCATTTTATAGGCCCTTCTAACTATTAAAGGTGTAAATTTAGATATGACTAAATAGGGAAAGATGCTAATCTAATAAGCCATTCATAGTTTAATATGATATTCACTGAACACTAATTAGATATAATTAAATAGATATTTAATGTAAAAACAGGAGATTAACGAATTAATTATCTTAAATTCATTAGTGAAGTATCATATTCATTTATAACAATAATTATAATTTTCATATAAATTAAAATTTAAAATTGTGTAAATAAAAATTATAAGTTTACTTAATTCTAAACTTTTGGAGAATGAAATTACTAAAAAAATTTTATCAATTATCAGATGATGATAATTTTACTTATGATACTTGATAAGATCTCTTTAGAGAAAGATTAAATTTCTCGAATTAATACTGCTAGTTTATTAATAAGTCTAAAAAATCATCAGAAATAAAATTAATCCTCCTCCTAATTAAAATTTCACTATCTCCTTTTATATAAGTAATCATCCTTTTTGATCTATGAAATGGTTATGAATTATAAATTTTTATATGAACTCATTAATAAATATCTTCAAATAAACATGATAACATAATTGATTGACCATATTGATCTACTTGATTTATAGTGGTCAGATTAACCTGATAATATCAATAAAGAGAATTTCTTTCATAATTAGTCATGAAATGCTAAAACTATATAAATAATAATGAAGATGTTAAATAAGTTATAAGATTTATATCTAATAGAAAACTTAAATTATTGCTATAATTTTCAAAAAGTATAGGTAATACAAGCCACTATAATATGTTTCAAACATTTAATAATTATTCATTATGCTATTTTAATCTTAAAAGTCTAAAATTAATAAGTTTATGAATTCAATATTTCAAAAGACTTGAAACCTGTGGCTCTACTTTAGTTGGCTTAACTCTATATTTTGTGCCTATTATAATCGCAATCTTTCAATTTTGATTGATGATAATGTAATTCATTACAGACAAAGGATGTGAAATATCTTCAGGAACGGAAAAATTAAAGAACATACTCATTAAAACCTATGTAAACTAGTAAGAGCAAATTTAAACTCTAAATAGACCAAGTTTATCCTGTATTTTATATCCATGTAGAGGATCTGGATAACATTTACCTGTTAGTTCAGAACTTGGTATGTGTGAGTTAGCCCGTTCTCCTCTAATGAGCTCTACTATTCTGATTGAAGGTTTTCGTATGAATAAACTTCTCCCCTGAAACTTTAAAGTAATTTATTTCTTTTTCTAGACCTTTATTGTTTTATTTTTAGACGTTCAACAAGAAAATATTAACTTTATTCAACAAATTACTTTGTCTAATAAAGTTGATTCGGAGGATATTTGATCAATAAAGGTTGATATTTGAGTCATGAAAATGAAAAATTTAATATAAAATTTATTATAGATTGATCAAAATAAAAGACCAACCATAGAATAAATTTTATGTATATTTTAATAATTAGATAGAAAATCAAATAATCTAAAATAGAATTAAATAATTAAATATTAAATAGTAACCTATAACAAAGATAGCAATATAACCAATATAAAGTATGATATATTGTTAATCTAGAGAAATAGTAGCATTAGGTTATTATAAAAAAGGATGAATACAAATAATAAAAAAAGTAAACAAGAGAAGAGTAAACCAAATTTATGAAATAAGATATATAAAAAAAAGTATTGATTATTATTAAAATATTTAGAAATCTTAATAGTAATAGTAGAAGCCTTAAGAATTAATTATTGAATCATTTGGTCAACCAAAAAAATAAGATTAATAATAAAGTGAAAAGAAAATTGTGAAAAATAAAGATATTCCTGAAATTTATTTACCTTTCATGTCACAAATAGAATAAAAGTAATAATAATTGAATTCTGCTAAAGAAAAATAAAATGAATAATTAGTCTAATCATAACAATAGAATTGTAAAATTAATATTCATTTAATTAGCTAAAAAATAAAATCCACGACTAGGTTATGAGAGAGCAGAAAAAATAAGATCAGCTTTAGAGAAGGAATTGGGATTAAATGAATTTCTATCTATCTATAACACCTTTAAAAATTTAAGAGAAAAAAATTCTCTTGAAGATATTGCAAAATAATATGGCCCTTATTATACAGATTTAATTCCAAATATGCAATAAGAGTTAATTTAAGCATTTTTACCATCTTTATTTATCTTACTCGAATTCGATTTGGATGAATGATAAGTAATAATAATTATGAAAGTTTGTGTGATATTTTTAATTAAAAAACTACAGAATCTATATTTATCAATAAAAAATATATTCTTGATAATAAATTTCTTTTACTTAATTAGATTTAAAAATAAATCAATTTTCATAAATGATTAATAAATTTTGATTGAATTTTAACAATAAATCATATACAAAAACTGCATGATCACAATTTATTGGATAGTATTTTTTAAACATCTTCTCTTCCTAGTAAAGTTTAAAGACGCATAACATATTCCTTAAAATCTTCATCAGAAACTGCAGAAAAATATTCAATAGCCTAATTAGATAAATATTTACTTATTAATATGAGTCCATAAGAGAATTCAATGTCTATGAGTTTAATTCTTACTCTAAAGATTTCTCATAATAAGTTACAGAATCAAGGAGTTTTTATATTTCAAAATTCTCAAACTTTTATAATGTTACTTCTTCTTCTTATATTTTTTTTCCAGAAGAACCAGTTTTATAGAGTAGAATTGAATCCATAAATTAATCAATATTTTAAGGGATTAATACTTATTATCTAAAATTGTCATCAGATCTCCATGTTAATATAGCACTATTATCTATTTTTTCAACTTTAACTAAATCTTTTGTAGGTTAATAGCCTTATAAATTTAAAACTTTATTTTAAGATTCCAATATCAAAATATGACTATTACTTAATTATAATATTTTCTAATAAGATTTTCCATCAATTATTTCTTTACAACAAAAATATTCAACATCTTCCAAACCTAATTATCCTTCATATTCCAAATCTTAATTATATTTGCCTAAAGATAATAACTGATCTCTATCATCTTTACAACGTCTCACTTAATCCTAATTATAGAATATTCATAGAGTTACTAGGAATTAAGGAAATTTTTGAATGATTTCATTTAATAAAATGGATGGACTCCATTATTAATGTAAAACATCTTCAATATAGTCTCTTCCATCAGCAAAAGTGGGTTTTGTTAACTAAGTTTATATAATTTGATTTGTACATGACTAAGAACATGAACTCTAGGAAATACAAATGGGAATTTATTATCAAGATATAAGCAAAATTTGATAGGTTTACCTTAATTTAATGGTACAACTGGTTACATTTCAACCTATATAATGTATAATAAGTACAATGATTTGTAAATTATTAGACAATTGCTTAAAAGTAATTTTGAATTCCTTCCTATCTAAAATTTCTAATTATTTTAATTCTATATATATAATTAAGGAATACCTTTTCTAATCCTTTTAATTTAGATTTCATTTTTGAAAATATTAACAATATAGTTATCTGGATTGTCCATTAATAAATAAATAATATAATATATTAGTATTAGTCATTTTAGAATCATAAGGATGAAAGTTCTCCATTCTTTCAGATTCCTTAGTAATAAGATTTTAATTCCAATTAAGATTTACAAAAAAAATTGACTTCTTTAGATGTGAATATTTTCAAATTATAATATTTTATAAAATAGTTATGGATTTCGACAACAATGACTATTTAAAGATGAGAGATATTAAATTATCGGAACCAATATCTCATCAAAAGATAGTGCAACTTGAAATCCTAATCCATTGGATCTTTATGGTTTGTTATTAGTAGCATTTTAGATTTCTGAGAATAATAACCTTAATACCAAAACAATAGAATTAGCTGTAATATTAATAAAGATTTATGTTTCTAAAAATTAGATACAATCAGATAATTTATAATTGTTGGGAATAGCCTCATTAATGATTGCTGTCAAAGTAAACTAGTTTTAATATCTTAAATAAGTTTAATGAATGCCAAACCTAAATCAATATGAATATAGATGATTATGCATCATAATATAACTTTGAATTTAGTTCTAAATAAATAATGGAAATGGAAATGAGTATTTTAACACTTGTAGATTATGATGTAAATATCACCACAATAACTGACTATTATGATCAATAAGAAGTTCATTCTGATCTTATTTTATTTGTCACTCTTGATTCAGATTTCCTTTATTATCAAAAATATGAATTGTATGAAGCTATAACAAAGTTTTATTCAGAAGATACATAAAACATACCTATAAAAATTAAAAATGTAAGAATTCAACCAAAAAGTAGATCATCTACAAAATAAACCAGAAAATATCAAAATTGACATCAACAGAATAAAATAAAATTCCAAAAATAAGAAGAAAGAGGATCTTAAAAAGAAAATTAAGAAGTGCATAATAATAATAAGTCATTTCAAATAATATGCAATGAAAAATATGATTTCAATTACAATTTATGATTACAATCACCATATTGGTGCAGTAAATGTAAACTATTTATTTTCTATGACTTTTTTTTT